AAATATATACTTGACCTCCATAAATGCACCTTTTCTTATTATTCTCTATATGCACGTTATTAAAGTATGGTCCCAAGGGCGTGCACTTAGAGAGGTCTAACTGTATAAAGTCTTAGAGGATTTGATCTTCGCCGAGTTCTGACTTTCCTCAGGGTTACAACTTTACCAGAGTTTCACCAGAGTTTCGCCGTTTCGTCAGAGTTTTGCCGTTTCGCCAGGGTTTCGTCTTTCGCCAGGTTTAGTTTCGTCTTTCGCCATTTGCCAAAAATTGTTTCGCCTGCCAACACTAGTCAGACCTCTCTAAGTGCACGCCCTTGGGACCACACTTTAATAACGTGCATATAGAGAATAATAAGTAAAGGTGCATTTATGGAGGTCAAGTATATACAGTATATACTTGGGCCGGCACTTGAGCGTGCATTTAGAGAAGGTGTGCACTTATAGAGGGTGCACTAGGAGAGGTCTGACTGTACCACCCAAAGTGCTCTGTTTTTATTTTTAGCTGTCCCTATACCTTTTTCATAGCAAACTCCAATAATATTTTGTCCAAGGGAATTGCCACCTTCAGCAGATTTCATATACTGTACCACTCAAATGCCTTTTTTTCATCTTTAGGAGTTCCAATACCTTTTTCATAGCAAAATCCAAGATTACATTGACCTTGAGAATTGCCACCTTCAGCAGATTTCAAATACCACTCAAATGCCTCTTTTTCATCCATAGCTGTTCCTATACCTTTCTCATAACAAAATCCAAGATAGCATTGACCTTGGGAATCGCCACCTTCAGTAGATTTCAAATACAGTCAGACCTCTCTAGGTGCACCCTCTATAAGTGCACACCCTCTCTAAATGCACGCTCAAGTGCCGGCCCAAATATATACTTGTCCTCCATAAATGCACCTTTTCTTATTATTCTTTATATGCACGTTATTAAAGTATGGTCCCAAGGGCGTGCACTTAGAGAGGTCTAACTGTATTTACATTGTTATTAAATATTTGGAAAGTGTTTATTGTAAAATGAAATTAGTGTCCGTGGGCATTATTTCACGAAACACAATGTTTTTAGATTAAAAACGTATACATTTATTGTTATTAAGGTAAAAAAAAAATAAAAATAAAAATAAAAAAATACTTTGAGACACTATTTAGCAAATACTTTCGAATTGATTGTCAATTTTTTTTTTTTACCTAATTATTAGATTCAGGAGCTTTAAAATTTTTATCGAATAAAACACCAACATAAAAAATAAAAAAAAAAAACGAATGTAATTCAATATAGAAAAAAAAAAAAAGATTTGTTCAAGAACACAGAATAGTATACAATTTTACAAATTTAAAATGAACATATTTTCCTACAATTCCTTTTTACAACTCATTTTAAAAGATAATCTCAATGATCTATTCTAGTGTATTTTACCATAGGCTTTTTAGGTAGAACCATCATAGTGGTAAAATCACATTCGGGAAATTTATTATTATGTAATTCCAAATTAAATGTTCTAACAAATATAGCAAGGATTGTTTTAATTTGTATATAAGCGAATGGTTCACCAATACATCTATGACGACCTATTTAAAATAAAAATTAAGTTTATATAATTAATTTAAAAAAATTAATTTAAAAAGCGATTTTTTTAAAAAAAAATTGAAATTCAAAAAATAAATTTTTACCTGCACCAAATGGAAGAAAAGGAGATCTTGCACTAGCAGAAAGAGCACCAAAACCATAATCCACAAGATCATCATCACGATCTTTATTTTGTAAATCAAAATCTTTCCATCTATATGGATTAAATTCTTCAGCATTTTCAAAAAATTCATCAGATCTCGCAGTAAGAGCAGGAATGCATTGAACATAAGCATCCTTTGGAATAACGTAATCTGTTCCAGGGATTGGCATATCACGAACAACTTTTCGAATAATATGAAGAATTGGAGGTCTTAATCTAAGAGTTTCACGAACAATATTTTCATGAAGAGTTAACAGTTTAATAGAATCATAGGTGAGAGGGGCATCAAGAGAACCAAGAACTTCAATTTGTTCTTGTCGAAGTTTATCAAATAGTTCAGGCTTCTGCGCAAGGTAAAGGAGAGCCCACGCGCTAGTGGTTGAGCTTGTGTGTTGACCAGCCATTAACATCGCAATCATAATATGAGCAACTTCCATATCAGTTAAGTTTCTTCCAGTTTTGTATTGACAATTGGTTGCTAAGTACTGCATAACGTCGGTGCTATCAGTTTTTCCAGTTTCACGACGATATTTCATGATATCCATGAAAAAATGGCGCATCCTTATATGAGCTTTGTCACGTAGTCTATTTGAAGGTAAAGGTAAATTATCGAAAAGAAAATTTATTGGTTGGAATCCACCATCAAGGTCATGAAATATTTGAGCGACTATAAAAACAATTATATTAGAAATTTAATTGCAGAAATTTATTAAAAGATTTTTTTTGAAAGAAATAATTTATATTTACATGATTCATCCACTTTTGAACGAACTTCTTCACCCAATAAACATCGAGAAGCAGTTAAAATAATTAATTCTGCCATTGCTTTATGAATATCTTGAATATCAGATTTCTTATTCCATCGAGAGAGATAATTTTTAGATTCTTCCTCTATCATTAAAACATAAGCACGTAAATTGTCTACTGAAAGACCTGCTTTAACAAATCTAAAAAATATTATTACTTTTGAATATACATATATATATATATATATAAAAA